CAGGCTCCTTGGGAGTGGTGGGTGTAGGCTCCTTGGGGGCTGTGGGTGCAGGCTCTTTGGTGGTAGGGGGTGCAGGCTCCTTAGGAGTGGTGGGTGTAGGCTCCTTGGGGGTTGTGGGGGCAGGCTTTTTGGTGGTAGTGGGTATAGGCTCCCTAGGAGTGGTAGGAGCAGGCTTCCTAGGGGTGGTGGGTGCAGGCTCCTTGGGGGTGGTGGGTGCAGACTCCTTGGGGGTGGTAGGTGTAGGCTCCTTGGGGACTGTGGGTGCAGGTTCTTTGGTCATAGTGGGTGCAGGCTCCTTGGGGACTGTGGGTGCAGGCTCCTTGGGGACGGTGGGTGTAGGCTCCTTGGGGGTGGTGGGTGTAGGCTCCTTTGGGGTGGTGGGTGTAGGATCCTTGGGGGTGGTGGGTGCAGGCTCCTTGGGAGTGGTAGGTGCAGGCTTCTTGGGGGTGGTGGGTGTAGGCTCTTTGATGGTGGTGGGTACAGGCTCCTTGGGAGTGGTGGGTGTAGGCTTCTTGGGCGTAGTAGGAACAGGCTTGAGGGTGGTGGGAGTGGTCTCCTTGGTGGTGGTGGAAGCAGGGGATTTGGTTGTAGTTTCAGCTTCGGATGTAGATTTAACAGGAGCTTTGGATGTGGGTAAAAAATCTTTAGGAGGTTTTTTCTCTGCATTTCTTGTCTCTTTAGTTGAAGTAGTCTTCTCTTTTGTTCCACTTGAAGTCTCTTTGTTTGTTAAAGAAGTCTCTTTAGTTTCAACTGTTGGCTCCTTATTAGGTGTTGAAGGTGTCTCTTTGGATATATCAGAATTAGGTGGAAGACTGGGTTTAGGATTTATTGGTTTGCCGGTTGTAATCTTGGGAGATGTGGTAACTTTATTGCGTTGGGTAGTAGGAATGTCAGGAGTTGGGGTCAGCTTGATGTCACCATTGTCCAGTCCACTTCCAGCTTCATCTACAACTGGTGGTTCTGGAGTAGGTTTCTTTTTGGGTGTTCTTTCCTTGTTATCTGTTACTAGAAAAAAATACACACCTCTTTTATTTTTGAGTAGTTTTCAATAGTGACCTAAAGATCCCATCCTTATCAACTAGCTATGTATCCCAAGCAAATTGCTAACCTGTAATATGTCTATTAACTTGTTATAAAATGGTAAATACTGAACTTATCTGATTGGCCTATTTTAGGGAATTAATGAGAAGGGGTGAAAAGCACAAGTTAAAGTCTATACAATTAATGTATAGAAACAAGTGGCAGCTTTGAAATGACCAACATGATCAACAACACTAATTCATCTCTATGTGAATGCTCTTTGGCCCTCACTCTCTCCCTTCCTCTTATTTCACATTGCTCAGTGACCCGTCATCCCCTCTGGAAACCTAGTTCCAACATCTTGTAGATTCACTGCACCAGTTGCCTCAGAGACCTCTACAACTACAACCCCAGAAATCTGTCCAGTCACCCCAATGGTCCCTACTGAGCTCTGTTTCCATACACATGGCTGTTAGCTGCTCTCTTTCCTCGGCGCACCTAAACTCAGCAGCCCCGGCGATACAGAGATTAGGATGCCATGGCAGCAAAAGACCCTGTTCAACAGGATTTCTCATAGCAGCTACCCCATAGGTGAATTTCAGAGCCCAAAGAGCATATCAAGAGCTCATCACTGAGATGAGTTCCATTTAATAAACATGTACTGCACTTCTATGGTGTGCAAGACTCTTTGGATGAATCAAAGACTATGTATTTGGCTATTCAGCCAGAGAAAAGCCTTCAGGGGAAATAACAACCACCCCGGAAATAGAGTTCTTCAAAACTCCAGTATCCAAAATTCAGTATTTCCTGGAGAAAGAATATATTTTAGAATTTCAGGAAATAAAAGCAGAACAAAGGGAATCTCTTTTCAGAAAGTAAAAGCATGATCTGTAGTGCATTCTCTACTACAAAAAAAAAAATCAGCCAGATATGACATAGAATTTATTAGAAAAATAGTAAAAAGGAGCTGTAAAATGTGGGTAATAATACCACCTTTCCCAGAGATGTGTATGAGACTTTAATGGATTAACATTTTAAAGCACTTAAAGCAGCACATAAGTGTTTGCAAAATAAAATAAGTAAAAATTAAAGGAAAAATAACACAAGGAACCTAAAGGAGAAGAAAGAAAAATGTATCAGGTGGACAGGAATTAAACTTGAAAACCATAAATGAGCATCTCGTGTCGTCCTGTGGTTCCAGAGCTGCTGCTCTAGCATCTTCTTATCCTTTGCTTTAAAGAATGGTTTCTTAGCTGCTTTGCACTAGTTTCCTATGGGAAACTAGTATCTTCCACAATAATTTTTACAAATCTATACACGCCCCAAGTACTGAAATGTCCTCAAATCATTCTACCAACACGCATTGCTTTCAGACAATTATTATTAATATGGCATTGATACAGTCTTTGATCTTTATCAATGCTCAAACCTTTGGGTTTCTTCTTTAATTCTTTATTAGCAGCTGAATTTTTGGAAGACTTGATTTTCCGAATAGTTGAAGAGGAAGAGGAAGAGGAAGAAGACTCTTGATTTTCAGAAACAGAATGTTCTATAAATCAAATAAAAAGGTTGATCACATCAACTGTAATTTAAAGCAAAAAACCACCAGTCCAAATGCAACAAGAAATAATGTTTACTGAGGTACAAATGTCTGTGTTTTGCTTTTATTTTATCAGTAATATGATCAACTGTTCTTTTAATTTGTCAGTTAAAAGTAAGGTAGCTAAGCTTCTCACAGGTACTAGCAATATATTACTTTCTCTCAACTTTCCCCTCTCTCACAGAATCTAATTATTCTGCAGAAAATCACCTGAGATTTTTTTTTTTCCAATGAGATGTGTTTCTTCTGATTATTTTAACCTACACCCATGCTGGGTTCAGTTATAAGAAAAACAAATAGCTGATGGTTTATAATTTGGCTAAAGAAAAATAAACAGCTGAGGGTTTATAATTTGGCTTAAACTTTGACTTTAAACACATTTTAAAAAGTGTAATGAGCCTTTCAAGACTCACATGATTCCCCTACTCTATGAAGAGTCTTACAAAAGTAGTCCACCTACAGCTTAGTCCCTCTCAAAACCTTTTATTCATCTGTCATCTTCCTACCTTCTGTTATTTCCTCTGATTCTATCACTTTCTTAGTCATCTTCTTGTTTGGTGCTTTGGGTGAACGTTTGGTTGTTGATTTGATGGTTTGAGATGCTCCTGGAGGTGGAGGTGCAGTCTTTGAAGATGGTGGTGATGTGGGATTATGCACTGAGGCCAAGCAAGACAGGTGGATTAACATCTTGTTGACATTCATCAGCAACTCTTAACTGTGAAAGGCATGGATGCATCTGGCTTCAAGAATCGATGCTGGTGAAAACCAGCGTAGGCATGCTCTTAGCCTAACACTAGTTACTCCAATTCTAAAGATGCATTGCTATAAAATATTGGTTCTAAGATTGTTATAAGTTTTGACAAGGGGCAAAGGCTCAGGGGTCAGAAAACCTGAATTCCAGTCCTTGACCTGCAAGGTGCTATCCTTGTGACCTTGAGCAAATGAGCTAACCCTGTCTTGAACTTTGTTTTCTTGTCTGCAAATTGAGATGTTTATTCTAGATGATTTCTGAAGGTATTTCCTGGCCTAAACCATACTTGCCTCTATCAGCTCCGTCCCTTATGCCAATCTTCTGTGATGATAGAAATAATTACTGCATGTGAGCGAAAGGTATTTGTGCTCTCAGGAAGAGAAATATAATAATTACATTTGTCCTGTTTTTATATTCATTTAAATCAAATGATGCCAATTCACCTTTTTTTTAAATTACAAAATTTCTGCATGAATATTTACTCTTATAAAAAGTTCACACCTTCACGTTATGCTTTTCTGAAAATGTGTGGCCCTTCCCCAGGTTAAACAACTGTTAATGGTTTGGTGTGTATCTTTGAAACCTTTTCTGTCCTACCCTTTCTATGTCTAGAAGGGAAGGCATGGGACATGTTTTGATCATTAGGAACCAGAAGAAAAGGAGAGGGACTTCTGAAAGATAAGAAAGCAGAGAACAGTGGGGAGGCTTTGAGTAGAGAGAGTTGTGATAAATACTGCTGCTCTCACCGCACACCCCCTAGGAACTCCGGCCAGCACAGTCTCCATGAGCTGACGACCACACTCCTTCCTCTGTATCTCCCACCAAATAGCTCAATTTGAGAAACAGTTCTGCCATACTAGCTAGTGATCTTGAGCCAAACAACCTCCTGGACTGTTTTCTCACCCACATTTCTTCAGTTCTCAAGATGTTATAATTTTGAGATACATAGATGCTTACAACAGTATCTATACGTCAATCCCGAAACAACCTAAGAGGTGACTGGTAAGATAGTTTGGTGGTTATTTTTTAAAAATGAAGTAGTGAAGCTCTGGGTGGTTCCATTCTTTTCAGTGGAAACCCCAACTGTCCTTGTGAATTCTGTAAATGAAGCATGACCTTCATCAATTTTTTTCATTTAGCATAAGCCTCAGGTAATCTGACCTACCACCTAGTAGCATAAAGCATTGTCTTTATTAACATGTTCTTGCAGTGCTTCATCACTCTCTAACTATCCTCCCTCCCCACCCATCCTCTGCCCAAAATAAAGTCTTAATTTTTGTCTCACAGCCAAAACAATTATCAGGGCACTGAATAAATATGTATCCTTCATCCTGAGATCCTTCTGAGAGCTGCAGGAACTCGGCAGAGTTTTTGATTATATGGGTGTTGTCTCCATCATTTCTGGAATGCTGTCCAATGAAAACATTGAACAGTTAAGAAATAGCCCTCAACTATGCTGATTAACAGTTTTTTACCCTATTTCTCCACTGTTCCAAAGAAGCAGGGGACGTACAGCCTTGTTTAAATGAAATGATAAGATTATGCAAGCAATGCTTATTTTCACCTTTACCTCCACAAATATTGTTGTTTTAAAAGTAGAATTTAAGAGGAAACATTTGGTAAAAGAAAGGAATTCGTTATTTTTTAAATTTTTTTTAAATTTTTTTTTTTTTGGAAAATCTGAAGAGTTTTATTGTACTCTCAGAGTACTACTTCAGGACCTATAACCAGAGAAGAGGATTTTAAAATGGGACAATATCCCTTTTTATCGATTCTACCACACAGAGGGATTTAGATAGAGACTCATGGACTGCAGAGATGGGAAGAAACATACAACAGACGGTTAACAACTTCTTGGTAGGTTTGCCTATAAATGTAATGTCTTTAAGTCCTAAGTTGACTAGTTTAGAGAAGCTGAAAGTGTCATTCTCTCCTTCAATATACAATCAAAAACACTGAAGCCAAAAACACAGCTAGCCCAAAGGACCACCAACTTTGTGGGGTCAGCACCATTAGGATGAGACAAGAAATCCCTGAGTGAGCTGGTTACTGTTGACTTCACCTGAAATTGAACCACACCTGAGGAAAAAGCACATACACTTAGCCCCTATCCTCTCTGTTCCTCAACCAGCAATCACTGATACTCCTGGAGCCTGGCGGAGCCCGTCAGTCCTGTTGGAAGAGGCTTTCCTTCTTTAATTCATTCTTGGTGAAGCAAAATTAATACAAAGTGGCTTGTGTTAGTAAAATCAAGTCCCTAGATGCATATTAGACATTATCAGCGAAGCTGAGGTAGGTGTGCAGGTCTGGCCGCACTTGAGAGGTGCTGATTGGCATCATGATGCTTACCTTTTCCACAAAAATTCTCATAATCAGGACAGCACTTGCCATACTTCTTACAATCTGAGTCACAGTCACATGCCCTCCCTCTTGCAAAGGACTCGAAGCAGCGGCCTTTACAGGAAAGCTCTACCCAGAGCAAAACAAAACATTACAGATTATTGATTATGCAGTCACACCCATGTACTGATAGCCATTTCCCACCTGATAGCTGACTGGAGTTCCAAAAGTTCATTTCTGAGTCTTTCATTTGGGATTTGGAAAATAGGTGGTTTTCCAAGTGGAGAAGTCAAGAAAGAAATATGATGACTCAGAGAAGGTTTTCTTGCCCTTCGAGGCTCCGAGAGACACCCCAGTGCTGAGCCGTTTCACATATGTACAGTGGAAAGGTGGGAACCCTTCATATGAAATCCTCCATCCTCTTCACCTTGCACCCACTGCTTTGTAATTGATGTTTATTAAATGAACGTTCAGACCTCACAACAATATTCCAAAGAGCTGGCTTAATATAGATGGGTCCCTGTTTAGGCTAAAAAATCACTTATAATGCAGAGACTTTTATTATGACGAACTGAGCAAGGTGTAGAGTTGGAAGATTTCAGCCTAATCCCATAGCCTGGATTATGCCTGCTCATGTCAAAACCAGCCTCGGCTAGAGGCACAGTAACTTACCAAGGCCTATTTGAAATGATCACCTTGTACGACACATAACTGTACAGCAATATATTTATCAACTTCACCTACAAATTCTAAAGTGAGCATAACTCTGAACCATTTTGAATTATAATTTTCAAAAGTTGGAGATTGAAATGTCCCTGTGTTAAGAAAATGATCCAAAAGTGTTCAAGGGAAATACCACTCATAATTTGAAATTCAGACCCTTTGGGTTTTAACTGAAATTCCTCATGAAACACTAATGCTTCATATTTAAATTGCCTTTTTTTGGGTACTTTAGAAACATATCCAAAAGTCCAACAGTCGATAAGATTATTTTATATCCATGGATTCTTTTGATGAAACTATTGAAGGACCCCAACACTAAGCAATTACATCTCTGATTTACTTAATGACTCCCGAGTCACAGTATTCTCTACATTTTACTTGGGACTAGTCACCCACCTTGTGCACCTGACAGATCTCCAGGCTCCCCTCCCCACCCTCCTCCCCCCACCCCGCCAGGCCCGAGTTCTGACACCATCCTTAGGTACAGCACACTGCAACACGTATGCGAGGAAGGGAAGGCACTTGAGCAAAGAGAAGAGCAAGAGTGGAAACAGGTGCAAGGGGACCCACAGAACAGTGTCGCGGGACAGGGGAGACACTAGCTGTCAGGACTTACCTATGGTGCAGGCTTTCTTGAAATCAGGGCAGCACTCCATGTAGTGTTGACAGTTATAATCACAGTTGCAGGTGGCATCTCTAGAATACCCTTCCCCACATCTCCCTGCACAGCTTGGTAAATCTAAAATTATACAATACTGTCGTAAACAGGGCCAAACCACTTCACGGAAAGGAAGAGATCTAATGAGAAGGATAAAGCCACTTGGCGAGGGAGAATTTTATCAATCGGAAAAGGTCGGGAATGATGGGTAGCAATGGGTCCTGGTGAACTTAGCCTGATGGCGTATGTGACCTTGATCGTGCCACTTTATTCTTCACTAGACTGAGAAGACAAATACACTTTTGAAAATCAGGCAAAGTTAAGGGCTTTGCAAAAAGCCGGTAACATTCCTGGGGGAAGGGTAGTAGCTAGGGCTCTCCTGAGGCTGCTGCTAATGAGAACCAGCTGACATTTCTTCAGCGTCTCTGTGCTGGGCACTGAGTCATACGTTATCTCTAATGTTTATGAAAATGTTGCCAGGAGAGTATCAGTAGCCCCTTTTGAGAGAGGAGGAAGCTGAAACACAGAGACTTTAGGGACACCCAGTGAATAGTTCCAGGATATATGTATTACAGGTCAATTAGTACCTATTAATTATTCATACTGACCTCTTTCACCCTCAGAAGTGTCCTGATTTGCATAATACATTATATGGTCACTCTGAAATCTCTGATTCTAAAGCCCACACTTTTCCCACCCAATCACACTGCGTCTCATCTCTCATGTTGAGTTTAAAGCAAGCTGGTTATGCCAGCAAAAACTTCCCTCGGCTTCCTCTTCTTTTTATTCATGAGGATAACCGCGTTCTTTAAATGTTGAGGAAGTCAGATGCTTGCAACCACAGTTACGGTGAACCCAATAGGTAACTGTTCAAATAGCATCTGGGCATGAATATAAAGGTCAGAGTTATTCTGGGTAAAACAAAACAAAAATACAAAAAAAAGTGGGATGATCCTCAAATGTATTTTGAAGAATCCCTTGGAAAACACCTTCCTCAGAGAATAACCACAAAAATGTAACAATGGAATACGTCTCTGGAATAGAAACTGTCAGGTGCAGTGTCCTAAAGCCAAACAGGGAAGTTGAAACACATTGGAAAAATCTCAAAATAATGAGTCCGGGAAAGTGAAAGTCTTCATGTGCAAAGAAAAGAGTAAATATTAGGACAACCTTCACAACCTTTGCGTACATATGTGCACAATACACACAAAAATGCATATATAGTGTATGTATATAAATACATATATTATATATAAAGGAAAAAGAATGAGAAGAAGTTGAGAAGGCAAGACAAGCAGACAACACAACATTAAAGGCTATTCTTTTCTAGTTAGCAGATTTCTGAAATAGGAAATCAGTTATCTTTATAGGAAGAGCAATTATTTTCATAGATTAAATGACTGTCCTCCTCTTATTGCTGTTAATTTTAACAACTAATTTTAAATTCATTCATTTAAAGGAAAGTAAAACCTTTTTAGAGAACAACTGATCTTATTACAGAGGAAAGGTAGCTTAGGAAATGCTCTCAGTGTTGTGAGCCTTATAATACTCTCACCAGAGAGCAGAGGAGTCTAGAGATGATGTGGTGGCCATCATTCCTTATTAAATATTCACATTTGCTTTCACGTGTTTTTCCATCTTATCTAAGTGATTCTGAAACTATGTCCATGGCAGGCAGTTATCTCTCATGCTTAGGCTGGTGAGAATTTTAACTATTTTCCTGGAAGTGTCTATTTTATAAATATAATTTCACCATAACAATCATGCACCTAGATTTTTCTTCTCTCCAGTTTTGCTTGTCAAAGAAACAAAAAAGGAAACGAAAATCCAACACTTGGTATTATTGTCACTCATCAACCTTGATCGCATGCTAGAGACCTCGGCTAAGGTGATTGCATTGAATGTATCTTAACATTCTCTAAAATGAATAACAAGAACCGTTCATTCAGGACTGCCTGTTTTTGGAAAACTGGAATAGTTCATTATCATAATATATGACATGTGTGCGAATGTAAGTCATATCTGGATGACTAGTCCTTGTAAGAAAGACAGAAATTTCAAGATTAACACAAGGCCTTTTGAAATTTTGTAAATGTTCATTGTAATATGATACCTAGTTCTCCATGATGCCAAAATAAGTCCTCAATAATGTATGTGATGTAAAGACTAGTTAAACTTATTGTAAACATGGAAGCAAAAATTACATGTTATTTCAACATTGTTCTTTTCAGTTTGTCTGATGATGCTCCATCACACTAGCATAGTATTATCCCATGTCTGTATTTTGTTGAACTTTTGAAGAACCATAAAAATAAGGAGCACAAAAATTATTCTATAGAAAAACTCATAACTTGAAAGATTTCATAAGACATGAGAAAAATGTGAGAATTCCAAAATGCTTATAAATATGCCATATCTGCTTCACGTAACTTTAAAATTACACATTAAACTCAAAACAAATATATGTCTTTAGAAATCTCTTTCTTTTGTTGTAGTAATAGTCAACACAGAATGATTAGCAACAGCTGTTAAATAAAAGTCTTTTGGACGGTTAAGATACCTTGAGAAGAAACTTGCTGAATCAAGAAAACAGAAAGTAGCAGCAAGTATGTGGGAAGTATTTTCCACTCCATGGCTGTTTCCAGGTACTGAGCCCTCACTGCAAAGAAAAGAAAAGTATCAAAAAACTGCTCTTTAGTCTCACTAGTTTATGACTGTGTCACTTACCATGTTTCAGTAACTTTTAAAAGGCAATTTAATGATAAAACCACCCCACTCTTGAAACAAGACTTTTAAAGATAATCAGCCTTAATTCTATCATAAATATTTCACCATTAGATTTAATCTTATGCAGAAGAAATCATCAAGTCACCATCTCAATCATGTTACTGTTCATTTTAATACTTTTGAATTCCCCCCAAAAGGAAAACAACCTTATCTCAACACTATTTTAAATTATAGCATATACTTACAGGGTAAGGTTTAAATTCCAGCTTGGGGAAAAAAAATAAATAAATAACCAACTTCAGTAAAATGTAGTGTAACAAACACAGAAGTGACCATTCCAACTTTCCCTTAACTCTCCGTATAAATTTGTGAGCTTCCAACAGGTGTATTGCATAGCTGTGGTCCTTCTCAAAACTTTCCTACTACTATCCTTATAAATCTTTTTCAAACTCCTTGACTAAAGCATATCCCTATTGAATTGAAAACACATTTAATCCCACGAAGCAAGTTAACTTTGACACTTACCCGTAAAAGCAATAATGAGTTTTTCCAGTGTCCTGGAAGCCTTATATATCAGTGCAAATATATTGGGATGAACCAATTAGTCCAAAGGTTAGACAGAATCAACAGTGACAACCTATGAAATCAAACTTTCCTCATTTGTTGGAAGAGGGCCCAGACAGCTAGACTTAGGCAACATCTGGAAAACACTTCCATTAAGAAAAATGACTACTACAAAATAAATTTAGGATTATTAGCCAAAACACACTTCTAATTTCTGAGTGAAGTGAACAAATTGTTCTGAGATGGTAAATAGTTCTGACAAGTCTTGACAAGCATATCAAAGCAGCAGTGTCCAAACAGTCAAATGTTGGTATCACTTCTTGCTTTTATTTCCCCCCACCAGCTAAATCTAGCAAAAAGTGATTTTGAAACTTATCTACTGTCAGTTTGTGGCGTAAATTTTCTTAACTTACACAATTAAATCAAATGTCCATTTCTTGAGTGCATTTTCACTGAGCACAGAAAAAATGCTCTACATTGGCACAGGGTGGACGGTCTACACTGTGTATTTTCTAGCTTCCTTTACCCGGTAAAACCTTGCTTTGAAAGTGTAGATTTCTCCCTTAGTCCCTTTATTTAAGCACAGCAGTGTTTGGGAATGGTCTTTTAAATTACTAATTCAGCTTCGTTACCCCAGAAAATGTGAACTGTCATCTTGCAGAGCTAGGTCAGCTCTGCTCAAGGTTTTACCTCAGTTTGATATGAAATGTTCCTGTTAAAATCCTATCTCCCGGGGCCCTGACCATGGATTTGGCTCAGGTTATGATCTCAGGGTCATGGTATAGGGCCCCTAATCAGGCTCTGCGCTCAGTATGGAGTCTACTTGAGATTCTCTCTCTTTGCCCTCTGCCTCTCATGCATGTGCTCTCTCTCTAGAATAAATAAATGAATCTTTAAAGAAAAAAAAAATCCTATCTACCTGCGTAAGGCCTAGCTTGTGTCCTGCTACCTCCCTGAAACCTTCCCAAATCAACCCCAGCCACATCCAGAATCACAGTCAACAAAGGAACTGCCTTTTACGGCAATTATCTGTTTATCTGTCTCCTGCCCACTCCCCCAGGCCACAGACTGTGGTTTCCCCAAGGACAACCAACACCTGTTCCGTCCTTCTGTTGCCAACATGTAGTCCAGTGGTTTACTGAGGTTGTGCGTTTACTGCGTGCTCGTCCAACCAAATGGTCATATTCCATGGTGTAGTAGGTATTTGGTAGGTACTGCGTTTAAGTAGCACAAAATACCTTTAAGTTATATATAATCCTCCACATTTTACAAATAAAATGAAAACCCACAAATAAAAAAATCTCTGACCCATTGAGGATACATAAGGAGTAGGGGCCAGAGCCAAGATTTGAACCCGTGTCTTTTCATTTCAAGTTCTCCCATGTTTCTACAAACTGAGGGTTGCTTGAGGGGAGGTGGGTGGGAGGATGGGGTAACTGGGTGATGGGCAGTAAGGAGGGCACTGGGTGTTGTATGCAACTGATGAATCACTGAATTCTATCTCTGAAACTAATAGTATATGTTAATTAAATTGAATTTAAATAAATAAATAAATAAATAAAGTCACCTCATGTCTCTGCTATATCCAGCCCCTTGTGGTCAAAGCCATTGCTTAGTCCTTAATCATAGTACTAACTTTTACTCCTTTATGTGTATATGTGGGTTTATGAGATTGTGACCTTTGTTAAGACGGATTATAACATAAGCATCTCTTTTGTTACCACAGTGCTTATTCTGGGCTAAATCTATCATGTAATAGGAAAAGTTTAGAGACTGTCTGCTCACCTCTAAATAATCTCCTTCCTCTGGGAACCACCCCTCCATCCTTAGGGGAATTTCCCTTGTAGCCATTTGAACACGTGTGATTTCGCCACACCCACCATAGCTGATAGGATTAGGGATAGAAACCTCAAATAAATTGGGCCAATATGTTTTCCTACAGAAATTTGGAATTGTGATTCAGACATGACAAGTTGCCTCCTTGCTCTGTATTGTTACAGCAGACTCCCCCTTTGAGGCTGAAGCTGGCTAAAGATGCTTTCTGCTACTTAAAATCACTAATCAATACAGAGAAGAGGTACAAAAGATCCTGTTGGATGGAACTGAACCAAATTCTATTCATTCTTAGCTTTCCTGAGGCCAAGAGGGGGAAGCTGGCTTTGTAACTTTTTCAAGTCAGACCTTTACAGAGTTCCCTTGTTATTTGTTCAAAATGCTGGGGATGCTATGAATATCAGCAATACATATACACACAGACACATATTCTTAAAATATAAATTGCTTTCTGATTATTGCCTTTTAGAGCTATCTGCACTATCACTTTTCTTCTTTGATCAAATTCTTGTAATGATGGCAAATGACATTCTTAACTTGACTGAAAAATCTGCTCCAGAAACACTTGTTCTTAAGCCCAGGTTTTATTCTAAAGTTGAAAACTGACAAATAAAGCAAACCACACACGCACAATGATGACCAATCATAACTCTAAACATATCCATTAACACATTCTCATTTTCATCAACTACGTTTTCTCTGCATAATAAAGCATGGAAAAGAAAGAAAACCCTCATTAAATGCCAAATTCCTGAGGTTTAATTTATCAATATCTGGTTTGCATAATTCTATTGGGTAATGAGGCTATCTGAGGAAGTAAAGTTTGCCCTTAGGGCACGGAAGCATTTTAATTTTATCTCCTAACTATATCTTCATAAACTGTACTAAATGCATCCTTCTGTGAATATTGAGCCCTTTAACCTTCCTTACTAATCACATAACAATCATTCCATTAGGTTATAGGTACCCCCTTTGAGATTTCTTTTCTCATTGAAGGTTTGTTTTTTTTTGTTTGTTTTTTTTTTTAGCATTCACTTAAACCTCATTTAACTGAGACAAAAATTATCCTAGGATTGTTTTCTGGCAGGGGGAGTCAGGGAGAGGTGAGGAAAGGGAGATAGAGAGGACTTAAGTAATACTGGATCCCGTACTCGTCTTCTAGAGGGTACCTCCACACCGTTCGTCCTCACAAACATCAGTTTCGGTCGGTACCTGACAGCCACACAGCGAGGCCTTCAGGAAACACTCAAGGGTGCTTAGGGGTATTTGCTCTGCATTAAATGATCCCAGACTGTTATGCCTTCTCCTTGCTGTGTTCTGTCTCCATCCCTGCCGTTAGCTGTCACTTCGCCCTATAGCCAGTGCTTCTGTTCCTAATGGCTTCTCTCCATCTTTCCACTTTTTTGATGTGTTTCATTTTCTTCCAGCAGCAGCCTAGGAAAAACTGAAGCATGCCAGGGGAAAACCACAGATGCAAGCTTGCTCTTTATTGCCCTAATTTTGTTCACAGTGCTGTTAGAGCACTCTGGAAGTGGAATACCTCGTTCTCCTCTCCTATGGAATAGTCCCCAGGATTTGGAGACTCATTCTGTCTGTTCTGCTTATGGCATTGTCACATACTGGGAAGGGGTGTGGCTTTCTTTCTGGATGTTGATCCAAAGTCTGACATTAGATAAGAAAAGTATTATTGCATTTGCTCTTGAAGAGTGCAGCCGTCTGATAATTGCTTCTGATTTTTTCTAGCTTTTTCTACCTGCCCAGCCAGAGATTACATGACCCATCTTCCTTTTCAGTTATGTGTGGCCCGGTGACTGCATTTTCTCCTATGAAAAGTGACTAGAAGAGATAGGTGCAACTTCCCCTCCTACTTTCCTAACAGAAAATCGCTTCCTCTGGACTTCCTGTTTTCCTCGGTTCTTCCCAGACTGGAAGGCAGACTTCAGAGACCAGACTTGATCATGCAGACGAGGATGGTAGCCTAGGGAATAGTACCATTTATGGAACACACAAGCACTCCCTTTCCCGGGACTAGTCAAGAAAGTTTCAGGGACACCTGAGTGGCTCAGTCAGTTAAGTGTCTGCCTTCGGCTCAGGTCATGATCCCAGGGTCTAGGGATCGAGTCCCGCATCTGGCTCCCTGCTTGGTGGGGAGCCTGTTTCTACCTCTGCCTGCAGCTCCCCCTACTTGTGCAGTCTCCCTCTCTGACAAATAAATAAATAGAATCTTAAAAAAAAAGAGAGAGAGAGAGAGTTGTATACAAGGAAATAAATCTCCATTTTATTTGGACAACTCTAATTTGGGGTCTTTTCATTACACCAATTTAGATATTACCCTAACATAGAAATCTTATGAAATTCCCAAATATTTAAGGGAGTGTATTCTAAAAGTTGATTTGGATACTGTACAACAATGTAAAGAATGAACTACTGGTAATAAACTATTGGTATGGGAAAGAGAGGTGAACTCTTTTTACTTGCAGATGACATAATTGTGTACGCAGAAAATCCCAAGGAATCCACAAAAAGCTGTAAAAATTAATGAATTTAGCAAGATCACAGGATAGAAGATGAATGTTGAGCCATGCATGAATTTAGATACACTGCCTCTACTGAATGTTTTGAGAATAGGAGTTCATTTATTTGTTCATTCATCCAATGCTTTTGATGAGCAAGCAGTGCTCACTACATATCGGCTCTATGTAAATTGCTGGAGATACATAGATTACATCGATGTGCAAGGTAGAGCGCCTGGTCCCTAAGAGATTTTGGTCAGGTAGCCAGACATTTAAACCAATTGTTTAAATAATATATGGAAATGAGGAGGCAATGTGGTGAACAGCTAAAATTGGGCTTTGGCATCAGTCAGACCATTGTTCAAATCTTAGCTTCATCTTCTGCAGGTGGGCTTATACAACTCTCTTGACTTATCTAGTCCTCGGTTTCCTTATCTGCAAAGTGGGAGCAATCATTCCCGTTGTTATTTGGCATTGCAGAGATGCATCAGAGATAAGAGAGAATTACACTGAACAGTAGTGACATGTGCTCAATAAATTGTAGGTATTATGATTGTGGTTATGGTTATGATTCAAGAGCTGTACCCCAACTGCTATGGAAACCTGGATGAGCAAGTGTTAACTCCACCCAAGGAATTCTTCACAGAAGGATGACATGTAATCTGGAGTCTGAAGGCTCCTATGTCTGGGACCAGGGGCAGTAGACAAAGACGGTAACAGTACGCAAAATGATATAGCTTCTCTTTTTCATTCTTCTTGCCTATTTTGCTTTTTAGCCCGTGGTAATCTGACTTATTGCATGGAACTGAACTGTAGAAGATAAAACAATGACCATATAATCATCCTAATATAGGCTTTTTCCAATGGACCATTTTAGTAACTTACTAACAATAGAGAATGTGTGGAGAATTTACAGTGTTACA